AAAATGCATTTTCTTATAATTTAGACCTCATTTATCAATATACCCATGGAATATTGACATTTTAGATTGTTTTTAAAGCAACAAATGTACAAAATGTACAGGTGCTAAAAACTATAATATTACTAGCCCATTTGTATACAAAAACTATTTAAATCTTTATAGATATCTTTTAAAACAGTATACCATTATTTCCGCCCAAAAATTAATTACATACTTAATTGTTAGTTAATAAATTATTCTAAATAAATGTGGATTTGAATCAGAAATCAATATGATAATATGTTATGAAAATAAACGTCTATTTAGTCTATCTCTAGACAAAATTCAGTTTTTTTAGTATTTGGAGCAATTACTATTAATCAACGTACAGTCAATTAATATAGATTGAATACTGGAATCATATTAATTTCTCTACTTTCTCTACTACTACAAATATTCAAACAGTTTTTTTTTATTTTTTAATGAAATAAACGGAATTATATGGACAATATTAGTACTCTTTAAACATTTGTTACATCTTTAAAAATATTCTAAAATGTCAATATTCCATGGTTTGTTTATAAATGAGGTTTAAATTATAAGAAAATGCGATTTTTTACAAAAACTTGAAAAGATAGGTAAAAAATGGTATAATACAATTTGATAGACAATTAAATTTTGCATCTGATTCTCATAAAATATACAGGGTGTTCCATTTAAATTAAACAAGTTATTGCCGTTTAAAGTTACTAATTATTAAAAATACATTTTTAAACACTCTTTATAAGGTAGTATAATTTTTATTATTGCAACAAAAAATTTAGTAAATAGAAATACTTCAGTACAATATTTGGTTTTAAAAACTTAAATATTTCAAAAACGGTAAGATTAAAATGCGGTAAACCTTAATCAAATTTACCTTTATCTTAATCGTAAAAACTAAAAATGTAATAATATATAATATTTTTTATTTATTTGGGACACTCTGTATCTTGTAAAAATATTTTTAAATTGTTGCTCTAATAGTCATTCAACGAACCCAAAACTTACAATTTGCAAAAATCTAATCGTTTACCTATTATACTCCGTGTCGTATGTGGGGAATAACACTGCATATGAGAGTTAATATATGGAGCGTTTTTGGATCACCTTGTAAGTATATATGACCAAAGTCGATATGATATTTTTAAGCAACTTTATAAACTATTATTTTATAAGATTAGGATTAATTTTAAATTAAATGGTAACATATTTTAATTTTGTTTATTTGAAACTTATTTATTAAATTTAATTACATACATATAAACGAGTGTGTCATAAAATTCTTACACAAGTAGTTAATGGCAAAAAATAAAACTTAATATTAATCTTAAAAATATATTTTTAAAAAATACTGATTTTTTTTAAATACATTACCTTCATTTTTGCAATCTGAAAAATTACATAATCTTCTACATCTTATCTCTTATTGTTACATATTTATTTTATTATTTTAAAAATAATATATTTTTAAAATACTGAATTTTTTATTAAATACATTATATCCTTCTTTATGCAATCCAAAAAGTTACATAAACTTCTACTTCTTATCTTTTATTGTTACATATCTATTTATTCATTTATATACAAAAATTTAATAGCTTTTTGGATACATAAGCTTTGTTACTGCCCTCTCACCATATATATCAACAGCATTTAAATTGTATCGTTGACTGAAAGAATTGGGAAGATTCGCAACCTAATGGGCGAATTCGTGACAAGGTTAATTTGATTTCCCTTACGTCTCAAGTGCTGTACGGTGGAGACACCAATCGTTCTGCGGCCAACGCATAAAACACTTATCTTCTTTAATTCTGCCAGCGAAGGCATATCGAAGACGGTGTGGAACTGAAAGCGACAGTGTTGCCATATTAAAAGGTAAGTAAGATCTCTAATACGTTTCATGAAAATATGTTTGGATGAAAAATACGCGTTTATGCATTGAAAATTTATTAGTGTCAAACATAGAATAAACAACAAAAATAAAAATTCTTTTACAGGTACTGAATATGTCGTACGATCGAAAAAAGTCGTTTAGTTGACTTGGAAATGACGATTATTGACATTTACCATAATATTTTACATATGAAATAACAGCAATCTTCATTTCCAAGCCAACTCTGACGCCGTTCTTTGTTTAATCATATAATATTATATTAAATTGTTTAATGATCAAAAATCCGTATTATTAGCGTACTGTATCCAAAATCCGTAAATCTACTGATTAATCAGTAATTTTGGCAACATTGTCCCCGGCAACCACTCACTCTGTCGACTAAAAGCAAAACTACGGTACAGTATTCTTTATTCGCTGCGCTGTAAATGACTATCAACGCGCAGCAACGCGGAGTTAAATTAATCTCGGACAGGCTGACGGTAACGCCAGCTACATCTCAGACAGGTTTTGTGACACAAAGTCGCCCATAAGGTTGCGTATCTTCGTATTTCTTCAATCAACGATTTTATGGTAGTTACACGCACAAGCTTCTGCAAAAAAACTGTGACATTAGGGATTTTTATAAAGTGTTTGTTTAGTAGTGATATCTTCTGTATTATGATACAGGGTGTCCTATATTGAAGAATAAACATTATATGTTTTACAGATTAAAAATATCCAAATTCTTATGAAGATATTCGGAAGAATACAAAAATTTCTTTTGCGTTTATTTGAAGCGATATCTTAAAATAAATTCCACTTCATAATAATTATCATATTTTTTCACTTTTTTAACTTGTTAGGTACTTTTATTTTTGGATTTACAGGTATATTTATTGGTGAATAAGGTCTGATTTTCAGTGAGCAAGTTTTTTTTGTATAGTATTTGAAAAGAAAATACCACTACTCTAAGTTGATGACCATGGAAGACCCAGTACTTTTTAATCTCGTTCTTAATTAATATTCTATTATACAGGGTCGTTGATATGTATGGGAACGGTCGATTATTAATTATTAGGTAAAATATAAGAGGTACCGCAAAAGTTAAATGTGAAGGTTATAGGGTTTTTAAATATCTATTAGCGGGTAATAAATTTAAGTATACAGGGTAAGTCATAAAGTCGTGGCACATCAAAGTTTTATTTTTTTAAATAGAACTCCGATATAATAGAAAAATTGAGATACACACAATGTACCTCAAACCAACCGTTTCCGAGTTATTGACTTTTGAAAATATCACTTAAACAATTCGATTTAATTAATTTCGATGTGTTCGGTTTCATTTACCATGTCATTCTGCGGAAACTGTAATACGTAATAATATTTGACATTAGTTTTCAAGTTAGTATTTATAGATGTATAAAATGAGATTATATCAAGTCTAGAAATTACAAAATTTTTTCCTTTAACATAATATCAAAATCAAAACTTCATAAATTCAACAATTTTCGAATTATGAAGTTTTGATTTTGAAATGTTAAATGAAAATTTTGTAATTTCCAGACTTGATATAATCTCGGTTTATACATTTATAAATGCTAACTTGAAAATTAATGTCAAATATTATTATTCTCTTAATATTATTATTATGTCTCACAGCTTCCGCAGAACGGCATCGTTAAATGAAACCGAACACATCGAAATTAATTAAATCGAATTGTTTAAGCGATATTTGTAAATGTCAATAACTCGGAAACGGTTGGTTTGAGGTGATATTGTGTAATTTCGACTTTTGCTTAGAATTGAAGGAAGAACCGAATTATGCAATAATATACAGGGGGTTCTATTTAAAAAAATGAAACTTTGATGTGCCACGACTTTATGACCGATCCTGTATACTTAGATTTATTAACCTCTAATAGATTTCAAAAACCCTATAACTTTTATATTTAACTTTTTTGCGGTACCTTTTATAGAGGTGGAATTCTAGTTCCTTGGGAGGAACTAGTTCCTTAGTTCTAGTTCCTCCAGAGGAATAGTTCCTTGAACTAGGTCTTTAGTTCACAATGGTTCCCGACTAACATTGGCATTCCCGTTGCTTACTAATGGGTTTCGTTGTCAGTCAGAACTATTCACAGTATGATCTGTATAATTTTTATAATGTACGAAGTATAATGAGTCGTGTAATTGTGTATGTTAAAAACATATAGGTAAGTTTTATTGCAGATAAAAAAAATTAAAAAAGAAACTCAAATCAGAGTTTAAAAAACTATATCACAAATCAATTGGAGCAAATTTTACGAAAAATTGCATTTTTCCTCACTTCAAGCTTTTTGTTTTTGTTCTATTTTAGGGACCTAAAGTGAAACATTCCCATAAAATATTATATATATGAACAAACTAAAAATCAAAAACAGTATCCACAACAATTTTTTCTGGTAATTACGCCGGCTGTGGCAATAGACAAGGCCGAATCCGTGTAGTAAACCGATCATTTATGAAATTCACTTAAATTAACTAAATTATATATTTTCTTGCATTTTCGCTTTTATTTATTAATTTGTCAAAGATTAGATGTCAAAGAATTTAGATAATGTTAATTTGACTTACCTGCTCTAGTAGCGTATCGGATGTTTGTGTTAATAAATACTTATTATAATCCTATCTATTTTTATTAGAATTATATATTTTATAGTAATTCTTTAATAACTACCAACATTTATCACAACGTAAAATAAAAACAACAAAATTCATTGAGTCTACCTCACGTCTACCCTACATCATAGTTTCATTTTTAAATGTTCAGAACGACACACTGATAAAACCGGAATTTAAGTCACAGATTTGAGGCCCATCAAAAATTCTAAGATTTTGATATGCTCCTTCCCATCTTCTTATTCAAAGACAATAACAGTTGCCAACTGACAGCTTTTAAACTTTGACATTACAGTAAAAAAAAAAAAATACTTTATATTTCTTTATATCAGGCTTAACTAGACCGGTTAAAAAGAATTCGTGGTTACTTCTATGCCTAATGTGACGTTGTTTTTAATGGATCATCCAGTGTATATTGCCCATTTAGTTACCCATTTCAGAATATTATTACCTGTAATCTCTTGTACTATTAACGTTGCTCCAGCTTTTGCTCTATCGAAAGTAACCAGCTTACGGGAATCAGGTGATAGGTAGGGTTTGCCAAATAGGGTTGGTACCGTTGAAATAACAGCGTCTGTTAAGTAGTCCAGTATGAGTTGTCCTGTGGGCTTTTTGGTTATCGGTTCACGACATTCCATAAATACAAATCCATCTAAAATAATTATTGTTCGTTTATATTGAATAAAACGTCAATATCAACCAGTTAACATATTATTTCTAAATTCATATTTTAATTATTGTTAAAACAAGTATATTAATAATAGTCAATACAGTCTGACAAACGGATCTGAAACAACGAGGCATAGGTAAGGGGAACGCAGTTTTTTAAAAACATGGCCGATGTAATTCATAAAATATCCATAGGTGTGCGGTGTTTTATGAAAATATATCAGGAATTTCTGTAATATTTTCCAGTAAACTTTATAATATTCTATTTAGGACTTTAAATGTATCTAGATTTTGTTAAGTGATCTCCTAAATATAGAAATATTTGTTTGAAAGCGTGTACTAATTATAATCTACACAATTCAAGTTAAATGTATAGCATACAATATAATAATAGCGCCAGTGGATATTTAAATACTAGTAAATATTTCCACTCTTTCAGGTGAGGGGCATAAAATTAGATGTAGCACTAGCCATTAGGAAAACGTCATGCGCATGGCTACCGCCTGACAATGAAACGAACGAGGATCTCTATCATTCAGCGTTGTCGGCTTGCGCGAAGAAGATTATATCTTTAGGAAATATTTAACTTTTATAATAGGCAGAATGAAGGATATCCAATTAATTAAATAAATATATATCTAATAACAAGGATTACGTTAAAATACCTTACCATATATTATATTATTAGGTAAGCTGGAACGAACTAAAAGTAAAATTTATTAAATTCTTAGGTAATATCGAGCAATTTTACTATTATATAATTAAATTTGACAACATAGATTTTTTTGCTCGCATTCCCTTCGCTGTGTCAGATCCGTTTGTTAAATAATACAGGAGAAGATAAACTTACACAGCGCGGAGAACTTTATTTCTTCAGGTACGCAGTTGTAAGGTGCTAGGTCTACTGATCTTGTGTATCTCAGATTTTCTAAGTCTAATTTGTATAATCCTCTTTGATTGGTATGTGTCACATATCCGTATTTAAAAGTGTAGTGTGATATTTCCTAGAAATAAAGAGAACCTTTGAATAAAGAATTAAATTTGTAAAAATTAAAACAGATTGGGGTTTGTTCATAAGTTGCTGTGTTATTTATCTGAAAACTTGATAATTACTGTAATTTTTAAATAATACCTGGAAAGGTGAAGGTAAAAACAGCCCAGTAACCATATCGAACTGACCATCAATGGGTTCAGGATGGACGGTGTGATGTTTCCTCTTTTGCCCCGCATCTCTGATTATCTAAAATTTTGTTACATTTTCATAAAACATCGTATTTAAATAAATATATGTTTTTATTTCTAATTGTATTTTAAGAAATAATGATGTCAAGAATTATACGGATGTGTATAATAAAATAAACATATATATTCTATACCAATTAAACTTTTAGTTACGTAATCGAGGGCACAATTTTTAAATTCATTGTTGCCAACCATGGACATATTCGGTGCCGGACTGACTAACTAGAATTTAAATTTCCCGCTGGGGATTAAGGTGGTAGCTCTGCTGTAGAAAATGTCAAGTTGCCATATTTATTTATTTATTTCCTGACATTGTCATTTTTTTTGACACTTTTTATGTCCCTTAGGTGCCGTTAAGAAGGTGAGTTTTGTAGATGTAAATAATAACTGTTTATATATTTATAATTAATTTATTTTTGTTTTCTAAAATATTTTGATTAAAAGACAATTTGTAAAAGTGGGCAACGCTGTGCCGGTCAAGCTTAATCACGTCTCTAAAAGTTTACTTGATATGAACTATAGTTGTCATATCTTATTTTTTGAATCGAGAGGATATTAAAAAGGTATATTAATATTGTTTGCCATTATTTTTTATAAATATTCTGGTTAATATCTTGTTTTATTTTACCTGAACTGTTTTAATCCCAGTATCACTCTTGTTTCTCCAGCTGAGGAGCCACAACTGATCTAAATGAAGCACTTTCTCTAGTTCGACGGGTACTTTGTCCGTGCCCACTACATCAACTACTGCCATTTGAACGGTGGACACCACCAAAATACGATCTAGATTAGGCTGAGAAGCGTAGATGTAGCGATTGGAAATTGATACGGCTCGGCCCCATGAGCATTGGATGCCTTGACTTCCACATACATAGTCCTACAATATAAACATTTTAAGCATGATTATTTTTAGGGGTCAAAACATTGTGATAATACCATAGACTTAAAATAAAATATAGACTGAGCATCTCATTCATAAATAGCTGGAACATGCGGTCAGACACTGTCTTGTTATTGTTGTGTTATTGTTTTAGGTTATAACGAGTGCGACACGAGCGATAGATAGGTTGTCTCTGTCGTAACGGTCGTTCCCTGACGACTCTGCCGAGAAACACAACACTGTCTTTCGTTTCTCGAGTACACCTGAACTCTCCGTATCATAGTCGGGTAATTTTTTTTATTTTAATGAAGCTATAATTAAATTAAAAATATTTCGTATTTAAACTTTTTTATATTTTATTAAGATTTAGGGCAGGTTTTTTAAATAAAACTTTAGAAAAAACAATTTAGAGTCCAAAAAGGATAAAAATAATAAAATACACGTTATAGAAGAAATTTTATAATTGAAATTAGGTAATTTTTGAAATTAATAATAAATTATTAATTTTAGTCAAACATTTACAACCCCTAATATTAATCAAAACAGGATCTATTCCACAGATATAATAGAATCGGCGACAGGGAGAGAAAAAAAAATATGATTGTTGTAATTTTGTTTCTGGTTAAGTGATGTCTTATTATGTAAATTAGAGAAAACATAAATCTGTTCCATTAAAGCAAGGAAGGTGATAAAATAAAAACTACATTTATTTAACTCGGTACTGTCTTTATTATACCAGGTGCGTCTCAAAAGTGGCTCATCCCCCATAATTTTTTTATATTTTCAAATAAAAAAACAAGATTTAGTATGTTAGTATATGAAATAAATTAGGATTGATTGACGCATTCAATTGTTTTTGGTCACTTCCTTTTTAACCGGAAATGACTATAACTTTTAATTTTTAAACGGCGCCCTCGTATATTTCTACTTTATTTGATAGAAAATGACACTCTGAATAGAATGACATATCATATGTCAACTTTTGACACTTTCGCATATGGTTTAATTGTAATTGTAACACGTGGTTCATAACGACAATTTGACTCGAAATACCAAGTGTGTGGTATCAATATATTCATAAAAAAATGCTTTTTCCAAATATGCTAACGAGTCACCCTTGTTCCATTTGAAAAAATTGACATATGTATGATTAAAAATATGATTTGTACATCTTTTAATCGGCCTAGACAAGACACGAAACCCATTAGACGATCAAAACTATTTTTCCAAGGCTCCTTGATTAAAACTTAGTGTTTTTAACAACACCATGGCACCCTGGATTGAAATTTATAATACGATTTGTTTTTAAGCGACAATGTCAAAAGTTGACATATGATATGTCATTCTATTCAGAATTCTATTATCATTTTCTATCGAATAAAGTAGAAATATACCGAGGGTGCCTTTAAAAATCAAAAGATGTAATCATTTCGGTGAAACAGAAAGAGACCAAAAACAATTGAATACGTCAATAAATCCTAATTTATGTCATATACCTACTAACATACAAATCTGTTTTTTTATCTGAAAAAATAAAAAAGTTATAGCGGTGAACCACTTTTGAGACGACCCGGTATATTAAAAAATATTGTCTCATAATGTAATATCATTTTAAAATTCTTGTATGTTATTTTAGATTCTGAAGATAATTTTAGAATAAACCGGAATATATTTTTAATAAAAACATTATTAATTATTAACAGGGTTATAATTATGATTTTGTTACAATGTAAGTAAGTAAATAATGTAATGTAAGAGAAAAAATTCAGATTTTACATTTTACTAAAATATTATCTAAATAAGCGCCTTTCTACAACAACGCCACTGACTCCCAATGGGTAAATTGAGAGTTGCCTACCGGTCAAAAGTCGTTTCAAGACTTAAATGGATTATTTAAGTCAAATTTCTTGCAAATTTGGCACTGGCGAACCATATTTTATAGTTCTTGAACAGAAAAAGTCAATAAAATAAACACTTAAGCACTACAAGCTAAGAAAATGCGTTAATACAGCCGGGGAGATAGCGGCAACAAAGCTTTACCGCACACGTGCGACACGTACTACAAGGTAATAAATGAATGAATAGGCTCCCTCGCCTCTAATCGGTGTTGTCATATTGTAAAGAACTTATCCTTTTTAAACAGTATCCGACTTATAATTTAGTAGTATAAGGACTATTTAATACATCTCTGGAATATTAAAACCTACTTTATTAAACTGTAGTATTAATATCTCAATATATGTGTATAACAAGAAAAAAAATATTGATAATATTAAAGACGTGACAACATAGGCTGGATGAGGAAGGCTCGGTCGACTGTACCCAGAAGTAAACATGTGTACAAAAAAGGTTGTTTGTCCGCGTTGAGATGTAAATAGTGTAGTCTATATTTTATTTTAAGTCTATGGATAATACAAATATACAAGGTGGTCCGAACTGTATTCCGGAAACTTCGGCAGCATATTCTGCAAATAAAAATAAGTAAGAAAGTTCTTATAAATGTATGTCCTCAAATCCTTAGTTTCGGAGATACAGGGTGTAGAAGTTTCATTTTTATTTGGATTTTTTCTAAATAATTTCTGAAGTAACGTCAATATTTGGATGAAAATTGGTGTCTGGGACTTTTTTGACATGAGAAATTTGATTTTTGTATCAATATGACTCCTACTATTAGAGGGCACCACCTACATGTGTTTTAACTGTTTTGAATCGTAATAACTTTTTGTCCGTACCTGTATAAAACCACCGAGCGAAAAAATATACATCTCTGTGACTTTTTACGTAAAAAATATCTCTTTGTAAAAATCGCTGCGAGCAACCGTTCTTAAGATATTTAGAATGGAAATAGGCAATATACTCTGTTTTTTTTCTCAGGTAAGATTTCGACAGACGATGACAGAAGAAAAGCAGATGACGTCCTATACCAATCTATTTATTTTACTAAAAAAAGTTTCTAATAATTTTTAAGTTAACTATGGATGGGTTTAAATATAAATTCGTCATGCGTCGTCACTTGTTGTTTTTAACCAGTTTTATTGGTTTATTTCAAAAATGACAGATCGTATTTCAATTTTATTGGTTTGACGGAACGATGAACGACAAACGGACGCCGATGCGTATGAACTCGCCTTTAGATTTTTGACGTTTGTCAAAGTCTTGCCAAATTATAGGTTATAATTTTGTGACAACTTTTGTCAAATACCCTGCGTTTTGGAAGATGATGCATTTTGATTCGTGTTATTACGTGTGTTTTGTGTCTTTTGAAGTCAAGTGGAGGAAAAATCGAGTGAAAATTAACTGTAGAACCCAGAGCACAGTTTATGGTTAATACTCGCTGCCCAGGCAGAAAGTCTTATACAGATACACCAATAAAGTTACTATCAATAAAGTTCGTATACCATCTCGTCGTAGATAAGTGCATCTCGAATATGGTAGAAGGACCATACTAAACACATACTAAAAACTGGAGTAGCTGTAAAATATCGACATCACACGATAGGTAAATAATGGATTTTAGTACTACAGAAAAATAATGTCAAAAGGTACTGGTTTAAAGAATTAAGATTAAAGTTAATTAATCAACCTGTGAGGCATAAAATTTGGTAAGTGTTATTATTAATAAAATAGTTTGTTTTATTTATGTTGTTTTATTTATTCCTGCGGAATATTACAAATTTGTATTTGTACATTAGTTATATCGATAAATATAATCATAAATGCGGGAAGTTTCATAAAGCTTGAAAGTAAGAAATAGTTCTTTTTTATATTTTTTGGTATGTGGTGTCTTATTCTTTTTGTTTGTTTTGTATTAACACATGCCGTTTTTTATTAAATAAAATAACTCGATTACATTTTTTCAGTTTTATACAGTTTTTTTCACAATATTTTTTGAAGTTACTTGTCAGTCAAATTTTAAATACATATATTAATTTCCTGCTATGCGTTCCAGTTGTACTAACTTATTTCTTTGTAAAATAACATAAACTACTTTGAAATTAAAATGACAGACACATCTATCACTGTCAAGGATCTTCTCGTTGGACAGACTATACATGTCATTATTGACGAAAAATAAACACGTTGAGTAGATAGTTATTTCACTGAAATAACAAATTTGGGAAATTTTTATTTTTTAAAATTAATCATAAATTTTTCTGCAAAAAATGATCATAAAACAGTTTCTGTTGAACTTTTGGCACAAAAACATTTCAAATTTATGATTTCTAATAACTATTTAGTCAACATGTTCTATTTATGTTAATGATGACAGGTATTGATAAAAAGGAACCTTTTTCACGTCCTTTTTTCAAACCTTTTAAAAAACGTCGTAAATGTATATTTTTTACTTAGTAGTTTTATACAGGCACGGACGAAAAGTTATTACACTTCAAACCAGTTAAAAAATATGTAGGTGGCGCCCTCTACTTTGACATCAAAATCAAATTTCTCATGTCAAAAAACTCCGAGATACTAATTTTCATCCAAATATTGATGTTACTTCAGAAATTATTTGAAAAAAATCGAAATAAAAATGAAACTTCTACACCCTGTATCTCCGAAACGAAGTTTCCGGAATACAGTTCGGACCACCCTATAGATAACGTTTATTAGAAAATAAATTGCAGATCATTTTGTACTAGCCTTTTAACTTTATCACGACGCTTTTAGATTAGCTTTAGCAATACCATTTTTGTATCAACTATTTCTTTATTGCAATTTGACATAATATGAGTCTTTTTAATATTTCTATGCTGTTAAATTAATTTTAGAAAACTTGAAAAAAAACTACTAATGGCTGTTAGTAGAAACAACATTCCGAATATCGGAATTCACTTAAATGGAGAGGGCATCAAACAGGTCACACAATTTAAATACTTGCGATGCATGATTAACAAAACATGGGATCTAGATCAGGAGATAATAGATAGGATTAGAACAACTTTCCTAAAACGTCGAAGGTTTCTCACAGGAACTTTCTGTGGGAACTTGAACTTTGGCCTTAGATACAGAATGGTGAAGTGCTATCTCTGGTCCGTTCTGTTATATGCTGTGGAAGCAAGGGCACTGAAAATATCAACTATACAGAATTGAGCTTTTCGAAATGTGGATCTTACGACGAATGCTGAGAGTGTCTTGGGTTGACCATGTGAGAAATTAAAACATTATAAGAAGAGCTGATCTAGAAGAACTCTTCAAAATCATGAAGAAGAGAAGAATAGCCTATTTGGGACATATACTCCGTGGAGAACGTTATCACTTTCAGGGTAATATCAAAGGAGGTAAAAGGGGAATAGGCCAAAAACAGCTAACCTGATTGAGGAATATTTGTCATTGGAAGGCATACAGGAGTCCTAAGTCTCTGCAATTACTAGAACCATCTGATGTGAAACAAAAAGATGAACGTCTATGCAGGAATTTACACGACCTTAAGAAGAAGTACGGGTTTTAGCTCTCAAGCAATTATTAGAAACAATATTATAGGCAACAAATACCAGCAAAAAATGTACGCTAGTACACCAAGTAGGTACAAAAATTTTAACCAGTAACTTTATTGGTAAGCTCTTTTTAGTATTACTTTTTAGATGACTACATTTTTAATTTAAAAAATGTTACAGCAATGTTACAATGTTACTAGCGTTGAAGACTCAAAAGATTCAAAATTATAAAAATATAGGGAAGTAGTATAGCTATGAGGGTTCTGTGACATTATAGAAACATATACCTATTATTATTTAAATTACCGTTAGGAGTTGGAAAAACATATGTTTAACCTACCCTTGTAGTGAATATACATAGAAAAAAAATATATTTCCTCAAATTATAACTTTTGCTTTTAATAGTGATTTCAGTTAGTAAAAGAGAAGTTTTCAATTTTGTTTACAAATTTGGTTCCTTAAATAATAATCCTACCTGAGTCCCTGGAATGATGTCTGTGCCTAAGATATGATGATGCAGCCTACAAGTCGTGGGCTCATATACCGAAATACCCCATTCGTGGAATGCAAAGAATCTGTGTTCTTCATTGGTAGGACCTAAAAATGTATTTTATGATTAGTTTGAAAGTATTGGTTATCTTTAACAATTAAATCTCCGTTAAATCAATATCTTCTTCTTATGAAGAAGAAAGTATGAAAAAATTAGTATGAAGAGTTGCTATGTTAAAAATACTAGGAGGTAGATGTTATTTTAGATTCTATGACTTTACATAAAAACTTACAAGTTGACTAACGATTTTTGAATATTATACATCATGTATGATAATCAAAAATGTAAGGACTAAGTTATAAACCTTGGCCATTATGAGTTTATACATAGATAAGATTGAAAATTATAAAAATATTTCAAAAAAATGTAGGAAGTAGTATAGCTATAAGGGTTCTGTGACATTATAGAAACATGTTTAACCTACCTATGTAATGAATATACATAGAAAATAATAATATATTTCCTCAAATTATAACTTTCATTTTTTTTTGTGAAGTTAGAAATAATAATTTAAATTCTACATCAACTTACTTTGTGCAGTGGGTTGGTCTTGAACCACTAGAGAACTAATATCTCTTGTTAATCCTCCTGAAACAGATTATTTAATACTTGTGAATTATGGTTATTATTTTATGTATTAAGTACCTGTGTTGGTAGCTTGGCACATGTAAGCTCCAGTATCAGCAAAATCTATTTTTCTAATCTTTAGCGATGTCCCGTTTCCCACTATTTGAAATTTTTTTGTCTCGTCAATTTTAAGTTGCTCATCGTTCTTTAACCATTGTACCTATATATCAAATCAAAATACGTTGTTTTTATTATATGTAGTTATTATATTATTTAAAAATTTAATAAAATAAGATGTTTTGAATGATATACTAAAAATCACTTTAATAATGGAATATAAATAAAGAGATGTAAAGGTATAAATCAATAATATTTCAATACATTGTTGCCTCCTGTGGGAGTTTTATGATCGCCAACGACCAGCGATTATAAAACTGATAAAAAAGAGTATGCAGAAGATAGCGCAGTTAGTCTTGTGTCTAACGTGAGTTAGTCTTGTAGTTAGTATGGTAGCAGTCTGGGAGTGAGTTAGTCAGAGTCATGATTAAATTCATGTAAGTATAAGCTATATTTTCTGTATACTCATAAATAAAAAAAGATTGGTATTGCCTCATTCCATTTATATCATATTTTATAATTTTATAAATAGATATTTTTCATACAACTTGATGTTTTAATTAAAAGGAGTTGCTAGGTCGTCACAACACGTCCTCATTTTATACGTCCTCGTCATATTTACCATGTTCTACATTACAAAGTCCTAATTTTATTTCGTTAAGCTAAAACCGTTAATCTTTGCAAATGACAAATAAATCGATACGCTCGCGGGTCTGCTCTTTATGTCGTTAATAAATCGCATCACAGTAAAGGTTTTAATGATGTATTTTTGTTGTTCGACGGAAATGGAGAAACTAATGAGCGTAATTCAGCTATAATCGCGTAATGCGGGTCGCTGTGCAATCGATATAGGCAGTTTCCGAGCCGATGGTCAACTCTTTTGAGCTAATGGTTCACGTAAGGCTCTCAAATAGTTTGTTAACGCCAATTTGCGAAAATGCCTGTTTGATAATGCTATTTCTGCTACATGATACCGTGTTTTTTAAGTTCTAATAGGATTAAAAAAATATTCTCCAAAAAATCCTATATGGGTATTTCGCCACTGCAAGAAAATCTACAAAATAAAATAATAGTTGTTTAGTTATAATAGTATTTTTGCTTCCGAGGCGCGACGACGGAAAGATTTTTTAAAAAAAATATTGTTTACTTGATTGGGTATACAATCCTGAAGAGAAGAGAAGAGAAGAGAAGAGAAGAGAAGAGAAGAGAAGAGAAGAGAAGAGAAGAGAAGAGAAGAGAAGAGAAGAGAAGAGAAGAGGAGAGGAGAGGAGAGGAGAGGAGAGGAGAGGAGAGGAGAGGAGAGAGGAGAGGAGAGAGAGGAGAGGAGGAGAGAGAGGAGAGGAGAGAGGAGAGGAGAGGAGAGAGGAGAGGAGAGGAGAGGAGAGGAGGAGGAGAGGAGAGGAGAGGAGAGGAGAGGAGAGGAGAGGAGAGGAGAGGAGAGGAGAGGAGAGGAGAGGAGGAGAGGAGAGGAGAGGAGAGTGAGAGGAGAGGAGAGGAGAGGAGAGGAGAGGAGAGGAGAGAGGAGAGGAGAGGAGAGGAGAGGAGGAGAGGAGAGGAGAGAGAGAGGAGGAGAGGAGAGGAGAGGAGGAGGAGAGGAGAGGAGAGGAGAGGAGAGGAGAGGAGAGGAGAGGAGAGGAGAGGAGAGGAGAGGAGAGGAGAGAGAGGAGAGGAGAGGAGGAGAGGAGAGTGAGAGGAGAGAGGAGAGGAGAGGAGAGGAGAGGAGAGGAGAGGAGAGGAGAGGAGAGGAGAGGAGAGAGAGGAGAGGAGAGGAGAGGAGAGGAGAGGAGAGGAGAGGAGAGGAGAGAGAGGAGAGGAGAGGAGAGGAGAGGAGAGGAGAGGAGAGAGGAGAGAGGAGAGGAGGAGGAGAGGAGAGGAGAGGAGAGGAGAGGAGGAGAGGAGAGGAGAGGAGAGGAGAGGAGAGAGAGAGAGGAGAGGAGAGAAGAGAAGAGAAGAGAAGAGAAGAGAAGAGAAGAGAAGAGAAGAGAAGAGAAGAGAAGAGAAGAGAAGAGAAGAGAAGAGAAGAGAAGAGAAGAGAAGAGAAGAGAAGAGAAGAGAAGAGAAGAGAAGAGAAGAGAAGAGAAGAGAAGAGAAGAGAAGAGAAGAGAAGAGAAGAGAAGAGAAGAGAAGAGAAGAGAAGAGAAGAGAAGAGAAGAGAAGAGAAGAGAAAATTTCTTACATCTAAATAGTATTTTGGAAGTATTCGGAAACAAAACGCAGGTGAATGAATGCTACCTGTATTATTAAACGGATCAGTCGAAGTATATATTATATTTTTTTTAATTTAAATAGATTTTACTTACTTGTGGAAATGGCTCACCAGACACATGACAGAACATTTGGGCATCCTCTCCGGGTCGTTTTGATTGAATTTTTGGCATTACATGAACTTCAGGAGCAGCTAAAAGAAATTGTGCTTTAGTTAATACCGTTATAGTTTTTTAATAAACGTTATTTAAAGACCACAGTCTCGGTTAATGTCATTATTAATTTGAAAAAGAATATCAAATAACCTATTTTAATTTTAGATATTCTGAATTTTGAAATTGAACTAGTATATGCTGTATAAAAACTTGATAGAAACACTCTTTATACAGGGTGGTCCGAATTGTATTCCGGAAACTTCGGCAGTATATTCTGCAGATAAAAATAAGTAAAAAAAATCGTATAAATGCATGTCCAAAAATGCTTAGTTTCGGAGATACAGGTGTAGAAGTTTCATTTTTATTTCGATTTTTTCCAAATATTTTCTGAAGTAATGTCAATATTTGGATGAAAATCGGTGTCTGGGAGTTTTTTGACATAAGAAATTTGATTTTAATATCAATATGACTTCTACTTGTAGACGGGGCCACCTATGTATTTTTAACTGGTTTGAAGAGTAATAACTTTTCGTCCGTACTTGTATAAAAATACTGAGTAAAAAATATACATTTACGAGGTTTTTACGTAAAAAAGGTCTTATTGTAAAAATCGCCACGAGTAATGGTTCTCGAGATATTTGGAATCGAATATATCAATACCTGTCATCATTGACATAAATTAAACATGTTGACTTAGACTGACATCATAAATTTGAAATGTTTTTGTGCCAAAAGTTCAACAGAAACTGTTTTATCATCATTTTTTTCGAAGAAAAATTTATTATTAATTTAAAAAAAATAAAATTTCTCCAAATTTCAGTCAAATAACTATCTACTCAACATGTCTATTTTTTTGTTAATAATGCATTGACTATTTCTATTCTAAATATCTTGAGAATGGTTGCTCGTAGCGATTTTAACCAAGAGATATTTTTTACGTAAAAAATCACGGAAATGTATATTTTTTCACTCAGTAGTTTTATACAGATACGGACGAAAAGTTATTGCTTTTCAAAACAGGTAAAACACATGTAGTCATATTGATTTGTCAATTGATTTTTAATTGGTCATAATTGGAAATATTTATATCGAGATTTATATTAAATTATTTGGAAAAAATCGAAATAAAAATGAAACTTCTACATCCTGTATCTCCGAAAGTAAGCATTTTAGGACATACGTTTATATGAACTCTTTTACATATTTTTATCTGCAGAATATGCTGCCGAAGTTTCTGGAATACAGTTCTGACCACCCTGTATAATACTTACTATGAACAGTTAATACGTGAGTTTGCACTACATGGGGATTTCTCTGAGCACTGCAAGTGTAATTCCCCGCGTGTTGTAGCTGAACTTTGGTTAGGTAGAGACTACCGTCACCATAAACCCTTACGTCGTCTTGGTCTAGAGCTGCTAAATCTTGCCCGTGCCTGCGCCACTGAACGGGTGGGATCGGTGAACCAGTGACGGCGCAGTGTAGCTCGACGTTATCTCCTAAACGTGCCGAGATTTGGTTGATTTCGAGGGCTTTATCCAGTGTTACGACTGAAACACCTAAAGAAACATTTGGCAGATGTATAAATTATTAGCAGAAATAAATCAAATGGACTTACTATATAATTTACTAAAAGCCAGAGAAAATTCGTTTATGTTTAGTTTTTTATCTTCATCTGTATCGTCAAAGTCAATCATACTGGCCAATGAACATCCGCTGGTAAGATTGATGACATTAGTTAAATCTTGATCTTCTTTGCTAACCTACAAATTTAAAAAAAATGTTTCATTAAAGTGTACCTAAATACACACACCGAAAAAATCTAGGGACATCATTTTATTAAAGTTAAAAATAAATGTTTTGAATAAACAACCATATATTTGTAGGCCGATTATTTCTACTTCGATTGAAACGAAGTAGTCACACTAGTTATTTCTAAATTTGGGATATTTGCAGAAGTGTTTGTGCATTTTTTGTCAAATGTATAAAAAGCACCTAGCATCAATTGTTCGAATTTAACCTGTACTGGCTATGTTTTTATGATAACTGGGCAGCATTCATTCAATAACTCTGTTTAGTATTAAACTACATTATGGAGCGTAGACATCTTAACAGAGACGAAATGCTAAGGGCCATGGGTATGCTCGAAGCTGGAATGCGCCAAATCAACGTAGCTAGAGCATTAAATACAAGGCAAGGTGTAATATCGCGATTAAGTGCACGCTACCGTGAAAGTGGTGATGTTGCAGAAAGGCACACAGGGCGACATCGCATTACTACCCCTCAGGAAGATCATTTTTTACAATTAAATGATCGACGCCGACCGACTCTTACAGCACCAGAGCTTAGTTTAATTCTCCAGGAAACACATAATGTAACCGTTAGTCCTGACACTGTTCACAATAGATTAAGAGAGGTCAACTTAAGAAGTAGACGCCCCTGGAGAGCTCAACCCTTAACGAGAGGAAATCGAGAAGTACGATATTTGTGGGCTCAAGATCATGTTCAGTGGTCGAATGAACAATGGGCCAATGTTCTCTTCACGGATGAGTCACGCTTTGGAATTCATCCGGATTCGAAAAGACTTAGGGTATGGAGAGAACCGGGAAATCTTATTCGGTTAGATCATGTTCAGGAAGTGCACCCTTATCAAGGTGGAACAGTTATGGTCTTGGGAGGAGTCCAGTTAGGCCGAAAAACCGATCTCGTTTTTCTTGAAAGGTTTCTAACAGGAATCACATATCGTGATTTAATTCTTGAGCCTGTCCTGTTACCTATGACCTATGCTAATGATTTTGGGAGAAACTTCATTCTCATGCATGACAATGCACGGCCTCATACAGCCGGAGTGGTAAGTGAGTTTATCAATGCTCATCAATTAAACATCTTACCCTGGCCGGCACAATCTCCTGACCTCAACCCCATCGAGCACGTATGGGACGCGGTCCAAAGAAGAATTTTGTCAATGGACATGCCTCGTAAAACTCGTAGGGATCTGGTTCGGGCCGTGAATGCAGCGTGGCAGACTGTACCTCAAGAAGAGATCGACAACCTGATCAGGAGCATTGAGAGACGATGTAGGGCTGTAATGAACAGTAGAGGAGGCCATACCCTTTATTAAGTAAAAATGCTTTTATCTTTTTTTTTATTCATAGTTTAGAATAAAAAAAAATGTGTGTATTTTTTTGAGTTTAATAAACTTCGGTAAATAAAATTCGGTAAATTTCGCACTTTTATTTCCAATACGTCCTGTAAACTATTTGTTTAATTTTAATTTTATTATATCATAAATGCAAATAATAAAATTACTGACGATGGCTGGATAAAATTGTAATATCCCTAGACTTTTCCGGTGTGTGTATTATAATCTTAATAAGTTATAAAGAGATAATTATCATTATCAGATCTAAATGTTATGCATCTTTAGGAGTATACAGGGGGTTCAGAAATAGTGCGTCGGACATCTGTAGCTCATAGAATAAAAAACTTAAGAATTTTGTTTAAGTGCAAATCTAAAGGATGTACTAAGATCTATTTCAAGAAAATATTTTAACTTCAAGAGGGTGAACGCTAAACTTTCGAAAATATACAATAGTTTTTTAAGGTTTTTTAAGCGGTACAGTTTTAGTATATACTTTAGGTCTGCATATAAACAAGATTTCCAAGTTTTTTATTCTAGGAGCTACAGATGCCCGACGTACTGTCTGTATACTTATTATATTTTTACAGTACCTGTTCCAGTTCTTGCTTTTCGAGATGACCATCATTGTTCTTGTCGTAGTGAGAAAACATCATAGACAATAGAAAATCTTTGCTTTGGTTATCTGCCATCAACTTAGCATGATTGTACAGCAAAAGATTGTCCTAGAAATAAAAATGAAATGTAAAATATTCACTTGGTCTTTGATGGAGAATGGGAAAAGATAACACAATATATTTGCAGCCTCATTAACAGTAGGAACCTACGTCTACCGACAGTTATAGCGGCCAGGGGAGGTAATACAAAGTATTAGTGCACGGCCACACAGATAGCGTTTTTTGCGTTTTTAGCGTGAAGCGTCTTTTGCGTCTAAAACAAAATAACAGGATTATATAGGAGTGGCCACACCAAAGGCGCCTAGCGTTCGGCGTGTCTCGCAAAAAACGCAAATGAAAACAAATCAATTTGTTTTCTGTAGCCTCTTTAGCGTTTTCTATGAGACCCCGTCATAGGCGGACGTAATATTTAATAATACAATAAAAATAAATTAAATAGTATGCATTTTTTTTCATTTTATGTAGGATATTACCTAAAAATATTTTTATAGAGAACATCTACTCTCTCTGTTTAGGAAGATTCTATTAAATTCAAAAATTTGAAGGAAATGTTTGAAAAAATGTAGTTTGAATTGTTGAAAAAGTAATAAATTAAAGGAGTATTTTCTAAAAGTGTTTTTTTTTCTGCGTAAAAAAGGCGTAAAAACAGAAACAAATAGTTTTTTACGTGTAACAAATAGTTTTTTACACGTAAAAAATATTTTTTTTGCGTAAAAGTTTTTTTACCAGAAACAATAAGTTTTTGACGCGTAAAAAAATAGTTATTTACGTGTAACAAATAGATTTTTACACGTAACAAATAGTTTTTTACACGTAAAAAATATTTTTTTTTGCGTAAAAAAGGTTTTCTACCAGAAACAATAAGTTTTTGACGCGTAAAAATTAGTTTTTTACGTGTAACAAATAGTTTTTTTACACGTAAAAAATATTTTTTTTGCGTAAAAAAAGTTTTTTTACCAGAAACAATAAATTTTTGACACGAAATAAAACAGTTTTTTACGTTTAACAAATAGATTTTTACACGTAACAGATAGTTTTATACGCGTAAAAAATAGTTTCGTATCAGTAACAAATAGTTTTATACGCGTAAAAAATAGTTTTTTTACGTATAACAGTTTCATTCGCGTAAAATAATAAAAATAGTTTTTTACGTGTAACAAATGGTTTTTTACACGTAATAATTTGATTCACTTTTACAAAATTTGTATTAAATTATCAATATTTTTGATAAACACGTGGACTGCTCACAAATACACGCCGCGTCACTACGTATTTCTAAGCCGTTAACACGCTTCGTTACAACTAGCTCGTGTCAGGGCCGTCTCGCTAGCTCGTACGTCACGGCTTTGAATGTTTACTCCCAGCGCGCGTAAAGAAGTTTCACTCCAAATTGCTTCATAAATCATGTCCTAAAATTGCGTTAGCATCTAGTAATATTTACTATTCTATTATATAATTATAATTATTTATTATATTATATTATAATTATAACAAGTAACCACAACACTACAACATAAAAAATTATACACATATAAACTAAAATTCGTAAAATAAATGGCAAATAATAATTATTATTTTTACACACACCACTGGCACTATCAGTAGATTGTGTTTATCGCCGAATATAATATATTCCGATGCCCCGGCCCGTCCACAATTCAATCCCAGCATCTTTTATCTTCGTCTCTTCAACGCTAACCGCGCCGATCTCGTCTATCTCTTTCTCACAGGATTGATTGTTGAACGGGCCGGGAATTTACGAGTTTGCGAAGTTACTTGTTGCGAAGAATTGATATCTTCTACATCGACCTGCCGCGTGGACACAAATCGAAAAAAACGCTTCAAACGGTAAAATCGCAAAAAGCGCTTGAGACGCAAAAAAGCAAAACGCTAAAAACGCTTTCTGTGTGGCTGTGGGCTTAGAGTTTGTTTCACAAGTTTTTTGTTTGTTTGTACAGGGTGCCCCATTTTGGTTGAAATCAGAAATCATATGGTATCTCCGTTATTAGTAAAGATAGGAGGATGCGGTTTCCACAAACCTGTCCCACTTTTTTGTCAAACGGAAGATGCTGTCAACAAAATTTTCATAGCCCTCTTCGTTTCTGAGCTACAGGGTCTTTTGTAGCTACAGAAAATTTTGTAATTTGGGACAACCTCTCTGTTATTATGGATGATATGGAGAAGGTGAAAACTGATTCTTTTAGAACTTTTTACGTAGAATGCAGTGACGTAGTCTGTTTTTCTACGAAAAAAATAGGTTTGCAGATATGAACTAAAGTAACGTTTTTTCAAACGGAACACCTTGTATTTTTATAAATCATATGATCCGCCTTGCTATGAGCTTCTCAAAAATATATATCACTCAATATGTATTTTCACTATTTACTGCAATATTTAAAATATATCATTTTCTTATTAGTAGGCCTTGATAAATAACAAAAAATCAAAATGGTATTTACTAAAACAGTCATACAAATATTAAAATTTTATTTGGAATTGATATATTTTACTTTTGAACTGTTACCCCTGAATCTCTGAATATATTTTTCTTTTGTTATAACGGAATTTATTATAACGGGATAGGTTTACAAATATCTAAAAGCTTGCATTATTAAAGCATTTTCCAGGTGTTCGACATTGTGTTAGTTGCCACGATATATTTCATATTTCAAAAATCCCCAAGATCAGAAATCGAGAACGGACAAGTCCGGGAATAAGGGAGGCCATCATATGGGTCCATTGGTTTCAATTCATTGATTTGAGAAATAATAAAATTTAACAAATTTCTAATATTTTTGTTGTAAGTTAAGTTGTGAGGAGGAGCCCCATCTTGCTGAAAGTATATTTCACGTAAATTAGCTAAAGGAATATTTAAAAGTCCCGATACAATAGCTTCCAAGATTTACGAACCGCGGTAAAGAGTTAAGTTTCCCTAATACAGGGTTGTTCACCACATACGACACGGAGTATTGTAGCTACACGATTAGATTTTTACAAATTGTAAGTTTTGGGTTTGTTGAAAGTCTATTAGAGCTACAATTTAAAAATATTTTTACAAGATACAGAGTGTCCCAAATAAGTAAAAAATATTATAGTTGTATTTTTTTAAACGGAACACCCTGTATATTATTCTATTTTTGGATTCTACGATTGAAATAAAGGTAAATTTTATTAAGGTTTATCACACTTAAACCTTACCGTTTTTGAAATATTTTCAATTTTATGAAATTGCAGTAAACATTTTAAGGCTTTATTTCTCCTAGGATATCAAAGTTTTTAATACTAAATATTTACTGAAGATTATTTATTGATCAGATATTGTGTTGCAATAATAAAAATTTTACTACCTTATACAGAGTGTCCAAAAATTTATATTAAATAATTACTAGCTTTAAACGGCAATAACTTGTTTCATTTAAATGGAACACCCTATATATTTTACGTGAATCAGATGCACAATGTAATTGTCTATCAAATTGTATTATACCATTTTTTACCCATCTCTTCAAGTTTTCGTAGAAATTGCATTTTGTTATAATTTAGACCTCATTTATCACTATACCCATGGAATATTGACATTTCATTTTTTTATAGCACCATAATATGTAAAAAATGTACAGTTGGTTAATATTGCATGCCCATTGGCATACAAAAAAACTATTTAAATCTTTGTAAAAGCGTATACCAATTAAATATACCACCATTATTTCCTACCAAAAACATCAAAAATTAGTTAACTACATACTTTTAAATTGTTTTAATTAATAAATTATTCTAAATAAATGTGGATTTGGCTCAGAAATCAATATAATAATAAGTTATGAAAATGAATGTCTCTGTTTTTATAAATAAGCATTCGTCAATAAATGAAATAAAATTTATAAGGTGTTACTTTTTACCACACTGTAATACACACACAAAATTCAGTTTTAGTATTTGGAACAATTATTACTACAAACGTAAACAGTCAATTAATGTAGTTTGAATACTGGGATCATATTAATTGGTCCTCTTTAACAAAACATATTTAAACAGTTTTTTTTTTATTTTTTAATTAATAAGGCGAACTATATCAACAATATTAGTATATGTACCCTTTGAAAATTTGTTACATCTTTAAAAATAAGCTAAAATGTCAATATTCCATGGGTATAGTGATAAATGAGGTCTAAACTATAAGAAAATGCATTTTCTATGAAAACTTGAAGAGATGGGTAAAAAATGGAACAATACAATTTGATAGAAAATTACATTATGTATCTGATTCACATAAAATATATAGGGGGTTCTATTTAAATTAAACAAGTTATTGCCGTTTAAAGCTAGTAGTTATTTAATAAAAAATTTTGGACACTCTGTATTAGGTCGTAAAATTTTTATTATTGCAACACAATATATGACCAATAAATAATCTTCAGTAAATGTTTAGTATTAAAAACTTTTATACCCTTGGAGAAATAAAGTTCTTAAATTTTTCTGCAATTTCATAAAATTGAAAATATTTCAAAAACGGTAAGGTTTTAAGTGTGATAAACCTTAATCAAATTTACCTTTATTTCAATCGTAGAATCCAAAAACAGAATAATATACAGGCTGTTCTATTTAAAAAATACAACTATAATATTTTTTACTTATTTGGGACACTCTGTATCTTGTAAAAATATTTTTAAATTGTAGCTTTAATAGTCCTTCAACGAACCCAAAACTTACAATTTGTAAAAATCTAATCGTTTAGCTACAATACTCCGTGTCGTATGTGGTGAACAACCCTGTATACTACAGGGTTACTTTTTTAAATATCCTTAGTTCTGTTAGTGTTACTAATATTTATTAAAACCAAGCCTTATCTAATCAGTTTCGATATGACATTACGAAAATAGTCACCAAAGCCACCTTGTGATATTAAAAAATAGCATCATAATGATAGTTGAAAAAATTGCAAATTGTTGGTGGCAAGTTCATTTCGCTCTTAAAAAGTAACCAAGGCATGTGTTGACATGAGCCAAAAAGTAAAGTGCTCAGAAGATATGGCTCTGATTGAAAAATAATGTTTTAGAAAAAATATTGCACAAGGTGTTTTAAAGTTAAGGTAAAAAAGAACCCTTCAATTAACTTTGTATAATAAGCCAAATACTAAAGTTTATACAGTTCGTCTGCTGGATCTGTGTCTATGAAAGGAATGCGGACAAAAAACATTTAAATAAACAACAATATATTTTATACGTCGACTTGACGAGTACGTCACCGCAAATCGCTCCGCCCACTCATTTTATTGGCTACTTGCAAATTTGTCGAATTTTTATTGATGGAACGCGTCGTCTAATTTTTTACGAAAAACATGGAGAGAATATCGTTTCCCCTCTCACGGATACCCTGTAGCTACAGAACGGACAGACGTACTGTAGTTATATACCCAAGCAGCATTTGGACGTCGGGACAACGTTGTGTCACGCGACCAAACGTCGGGGCGCAACGTCGGCACAACCTCGTGCCAACCCTAGTCTGCACTAGTTTGGAGAATAATTTTTGGGTCGAAACGACGTTGGATACCGACGTTGGCTAGAAGCCTAATTTAGTACAAACTGCAACGTTGTTTAAAATCCTAATTCACAGAAATACAAAACTAATATGGCGTCTAAGTCGCGTTTTATATTAAATTGGGATAATTATAGTAAAAATATTATTTTTACGATTTAGTTAGAGACATATGTCAGATGGCAGTGAAGGAAAACAAAAGAAAAGTATTTAAGTGTGGAGGATGTTTGAAGATCATAATTAGTGAAACGCTTTAACCGACTCTGTAACTCGATACCCAAGGCAAAAAAGTTAAACGCCAACAACTTTATTGATAAATGTATTGTTTCTACTTTGAAAAATACTAATGGGCCTTAAAATTAAAGAAGTTTTAAAAATTTTCTTGAATTTTTTTTTAGTAAAATGAAAATAATTTATTCGCAGTCGAAAAAATTGTTTCCGCGTGTTTTTTAGGGTCAAATATTTCAAGTTAATGGATTCAAAAAGCAGGAATTGCTATTTTAGGAACGAAATATTTTCTTATTTAACAACATGGCGGTTTTCACTTTGTTGTTTTGGAGATTAAGATGGAGTAGTTCGAGTAGTCGCATACTGGACTAATAAAGTCGCAGTTCGGCCTTAACAGGTAGTATACTAGTCGCAAGATTGCCTAATTTAGTCATCCTAGAATCTAGCTTGTGCCGCCCTCTATAATCTAAATAAACGAGGGAGTGGATAAACTATCGGTAATATATGTCGATATATATTTAAATTTAATTTTATATGTACCTTTCTTATGTCCCATTTTAATTAAGTTTTTTTTTATAAAAACAAAAACAGCACTGAACTGTCTGACTGAACAGAACAATGAAGTGAAAATTTAAGATTTAAGCTTATGGTTCAATACAGTTGCAAAAAGGTATTGACTCGACGTCCTACCAACGTAAGAATAAAGAAATTTCAACAACGTTGGAATTAGTAAAACAGACGACGTTTGCATAACGTTGGAATAGGTCCTGAAACAGACGTCGGAAAACTCTATATTGTCCAACGTTGTAACTACGTTGTCCGAATCACCTAAAGATCACTTAAGCAAAAAAGGTTACAAGACAACGTTTATTCGACGTCGCAGAAGCTTCTATTTTGCTGTAGTACTAGTGCCACATCGGCACAACGTTATAAAAACGTTTAAATTTATTTTAATACCCAAGGTAGGGAGCTAACTATTTTTTGTAACTAATAAAACGTTGTTTTTAGTAAACATGTGGTCGCAAGTCGTGAAAATGCTACTTGGGTAAAAAAAACGAGTTCATGAATTAAAGTTGATATATTTATATAGAGTTTACTAAAAAATTCATGAAAATAGGGCTAAAAGTAAAAAAATATAACACTTTAAACTTGACAAAAAAATTTTCGTTGCATTTTTTGTATCTGAGTGTGTTTTTCTGCTCCTTTTTTGATATTATTAAATTTATTAGAACGTACCTTAAGATAAGCACATATAATATAATAAAATAATACACATAATAAAATAAAATAATGGTAAAATAAATAAAATTTTGCTTTAAATTTCTTGTACTGTGTCAATAAATTTCCAAGACTTACAATTAACGAAAATAATGTGAGATTGATATAAATGCAAAACTTCTAATCTGCGCAAAGCGAAGTACCGATAACAATGGCCCATAAATTAACGCCAAAATACAATGATTTATAAATTACGATCGTTGTCATAAAGTTTAAATTATGCGATAACAAGTTAAAGTCGAGGTAGTCGCGTTAAATGATATTTAATTAATGGCTTAAATTCTCTTTTGTGTTACACTCCGCGACCTCAAACTCGATACAGTAATAACTTAATGTTCAGGTGAGGTCGTAAGGCACTTAATATTTAATTTTAGAGCTTATAGAATTGATCAAATGTTTTTATTGTTCTGTTTCTTAGATGTGAGCACGTAATACACAATAAAACTAGTTTTATAATAGTTATATAACGCTGTGTAAAATAGTTGCATAAGAGTTGTACACCCTTTTTATAGAACTTCTATACTACTAAACGGTTGTATAAAAATGGGCCTTTTTTGGTTGTAAAGCTATCATATTACGGTCTTATAGCACGTTATACGAATTGAGGTATCCTATAAAAATGATCACATAGCTGTTTATACAGCCTTTATAAAATAAAATTTGCTACTTGGGTTACTTGCTCATAGGTTTCGTTATATGTCAGAACTATTCACAGTAGGATCTGTATAATTTTTGTATTTGTATAATGTACGAAATATAACGAGACGTGTAATAATTGCGTATGTTAAAAACATATAGTTAAGTTTTAAGCAGATAAAAACAAAAAATTAAAAAAGAAACTTAAATCAGAGTTTAAAAAACTATATCACAAATCAATTGGAGCAAATAATAAAATATTTAATATTGGCATATGTGTAGGTGAAGCTAAATAATAAGTATGAAGGTAAAGTTTTCTCACTTATTTTACGAAAAGTTACATTTCTCCTCACTTCAAGCTTTTTGTTTTTGTCTAAAAAGTCAGAATATCTACTTCGTTTTATAAGATGTTTCTTAACCTTAGAGACCTAAAGTGAAACATTCACATAAAATAAGAACAAGTCCGTGAACTAGTCTTTTAACTAGTTCCTCTGTCCTTTCGGTCCGGGACCGGTAACATACCACTGGCACTCCCCACCCAGCATTGGGCTACGATTGCGCTTGTCGATCCGTACGTAAACTAGCCTTTTATTTAGTTCCTCTAGTTCCTCTCAGTCCGGGACCGATCACATACGGCTGGCACTCCCCCCTCCCGTCTAGCATCGAGCTACGATCGCGCTGGCCGATACACCGCTGTTGCATATTATTATATATCGGTCCTCAGGACCTTTTCTGAGGACTCTTTGAGAAACCGGGAACTGGTTTCGTTCGTTCCGAGGGTCCGGGACCGGTAACATACAACTGGCACTCCCCACCCAGTATTGGGCTACGATTGCGCTTGTCGATCCGTACGTAAACTAGCCTTTTATTTAGTTCCTCTAGTTCCTCTCAGTCCGGGACCGATCACATACGGCTGGCACTCCCCCCTCACGTCTAGCATCGAGATACGATCGCGCTGGCCGATACACCGCTGTTGCATATTATTATATATCGGTCCTCAAGACCTTTCTGAGGACCCTTTGAGAAACCGGGAACTGGTTCCGTTCGTTCCGAGGTCGGAATAGTTCATTAGAACTAGTTCGTTCACAAAGTACACATCTCTACCTGGCGCTGAGAAGCGCGTAAACGTGTAATCTTAATTAATACCTCCAAACTGTTTTCTGAAGGCTGAAAATTTGTAAATAACACTCGAATGCAATGTGAGCTGTCACTATCCTCACTTTCATCAGCTGCTGACTGATGAGGTTCTATTATCGACGAGTCTGACTGTTTTTATTAATAAATATATTGTTTTTGCTATTACCTTGCAAAGTTTCAGCCTTCAGAAATCACTTTGAGTGACGAAATTTTTTGACAGCGCGTTTGAGGTAGCGCTGATGCCTTGTCTCCCCATACTGCTCTGTCTGACTGTTTATATTTATTATTTTTAATTTTTAAGTAAATTTAAAAAAAATTGAGTAAGAATTTGAGTAAAAAGTAAAAAAAAACTATTTCTAACTAAACTACGATATTCGCTAGAAAGATAAAACCCAGAAACGTAACTTACCTTCATAACTTCGTACTCCTGCATAGAACATTCGTCGCGTCCATAGTAATGATCTTCAATTTCATTTAGTAAATTGGTTAGGTCTCCCGGTTTTAAACTAGGAAGCACCAGGACGGACTGAAATTGAAAATGCATAACAGTAATACTTTTTAAAGCTCATAAATTTTTATTACCTGAACATTTTCTGGAGTAGCTAAGGAATTGTTTTTTTGTTTGTAGCTCGACAGAATACTTTTTTTCTTCGTCCAGTTTCGTTCTGTAAAAATAACATAATATAGTTGGTTACGATGCACATTTCTTTATTAAATAAATTATTATAATACACAGATATTTAATTTTGAATTTAAATGACAAACAACAATTGAAACTTAATATGTATACTCTACCGGGTGCGCCTCAAAAGTGGCTCACCGCTATAACTTTTTTTGTTTTTTCAGATAAAAAATGAGATTTGGTATGTTAGTATATGACATAAATTAGGATTGATTGACGTATTCAATTGTTGTTAGTCACTTTCTGTTTCACCAGAAATTACTACAACTTTTGATTTTTAAATGGCACCAATATAGGTTTTTTTTTCTTTATTCGATAGAATATGAAATTCTGAATATAATGACATACCTATATAATGACATATATGTCAATTTTTGACATTTTCGCTTAATAAAAAAACGTATTTTAAATTTCAATCTAGAGCGCCATGGATATGTAAAAAACACTAATTCTTAATCAAGAAGCCTTGGAAAAATATATTTGATCGTTTAAGGTTTTTAGTGTCTTGTCCTGGCCGGTTAAAAGATTCCCAAATTGTATTTTTAATTATATCTCAATTTTTTCAATTGGAACGAGGGTGGCTCATTAACATATTCGAAAAATGCATTTTTTACGAATAATTTGATACCACACACTTAGTATTTTGAGTCAAATTTTCGTTATGAATCGTATGTTATAATTTCAAATAAACCATATGCGAAAATGTCAAAAGTTGACATATTATATTTCATTTTATTCAGAGTGTTATTTTTTATCGAAAATAGTAAAAAAAAATACCGAGGGTACCATTTAAAAATAAAAAGTTGTTTGTTAAAAGTTGTAGTAGACCGAAAACAATTGAATGCATCAATCAATCCCTAATTTATATCATATTAATGTATTTTTATAAATAATTTTTTAATATATCATATTAAAGTATTATTTGGTATTATTAATGTAAATAATACCAAATCTCGTTTTTTTAACTGAAAAAATAAAGAAAGTTATAGGGGTGAGTCACTTTTGAGACGCACCCGGTATAACTGAGCAAACTTTGAATTATGTAGTTTTTAGTAAATATGCTATATACAGTGTGTTTCAAAAAACATGTGCCTTTTCTGGTGGGGAGATTCCTCAAGTAAAAATAAGATTTATTTTTTATATCAACATAGGTCCGATTCTGCTTTGTTTCGTAGCTAGAGGGTGTTAGAATTAGAATTAGAATGAGTGGGAGGGGGGTTAATCACTGCGACCTTACAGATCCATTGTGTCCCCCTTTCTTGAGTCATAACTCATCATACAGTCCCAGGGCTTTGACAAAAGCCAGTATCTGGGACGGTTTTATAGAGGGTAGTTCTCCATCTCCAATATCAGTCGTACCAAAATTCATGGTACGAATGGTTGTCGTCTCGGCGCACTCAGTGATGAGGTGTACTGGTGTTTCCCCATCTTCCCCACAGAATCTGCATTTGCCGTTTCTTCTTAATTTCAATCTACTGAGGTGTTCATTGAGGAGACAGTGTCCTGTTAAAAACCCCGTGACAATCCGAAGATTGTTCTTACTTAAACCCAGGAAGATCTGTGATTTTTCTTGATCATAAGCCCTCAGAAACTTCTTCGAGTGTCTTAGACCGTTGCAAAATTTCCATTCCAGGTTGCGGATGGAATCTTCCAAGTTCTTGAGTTCCGCCTTGAGTTGGTTACCACTTGGAAAGCAGAACGGTTCTGGTCCAGTTAGTGGCTCCTTTCGGCGCTCCTTTCCTAGCTAGATTATTTGCTTTTTCATTGCCTTCTATCCCTTGATGAGCAGGCACCCAGGGTAGGAGGACTTTGTTTTCTTTGCCTAATTTATTCAGCTTCTCTATGCATTTTTTGACCAATTTCGAATTGATTGATACTGAGTTGATCGCTTTTAACGCTGCTTGACTATCAGACAAGATGGCTATTTCTTGTTTCCGATAGTTCCTATCTAAGATAAGTTGTACGCATCTTTCGATAGAGGGTGTTTAAATCTTAATAATCTTTCGACTTATTATAATTTTCTTCCAAGTAATCTTAGTGATTCGAATGAAATCTTGAGGGTAAAAGTTACTATAAGTGCTACATATTTTAATGCTGAAAAAGCGTTAAAAAATGTAAATTAATCAGGGACGTGCATATGGGTTATCACTGGAATATTTAAAAAAAGTGCGCCACTGACTTTTTTATATCAAAATTTTGTAGGTCGTTTAATGCCAATAAAAAGTTATCTTTTGATATTTTGTTGAATTTGACCTCCTTGATGAGATAAACGCAATTTTATTAATCACAATTAAAATAAAAATAAAATTAATAAATTATATATTTTACTTAATTTCTTATTAAATATTATTACTATTAGTCCAACCTAGAGCAATTTCAAATAGAAAAATAATGGCATTTAAAATAATAATTACAATAAAAACTAATTTTAAAAAATTTTAACATCTTGTAACTCTAAAACTATGCATATCCATACCAATGTTTACAGGAACTTTTTTTCATTTTTTTGATGAGGAATCAATGAGTACTTATTTAAAACTGTCGCAAGTTAATGATATTTAATTTTTTTAAAGGTTGCTATTAGACTCGGGTCAAGACAAATTAATAAAATTGCGTTTGTCTCATCAAGGAGGCCGAAATCGACAAAATATTTAGAGACTTTCAATTGGCATTAAACTGCATGCACTATTTCGCTAACAGGAGAAAAAAGTCAGTGGCGTACATGCTTTTTTTTAGAAAATTATTCCAGTGATAACCCATATCCACGCCACTGGTGAATTTGTCGACACTTTCTTAGCTTTAAAATATGTTGCATTTATAGTAACTTCTACCCTCAAAATTTCATTCAAACCGGTAAAAGTACTTGGAAGAAAATTATAATAAATCGAAAAAATATTAGGACATTAAGACCCTGTAGCTACGAAACAAAGCGGAATCGCACCTATTATGATATGAAAAAGAGAGATGGCACATGTTTTTTGAAACACTCTATATAATTTTTTACAGAAGCTTTTTTGATATTTATCGAAGCATAAATAATAATCGTATGCAGTTTACTCTTGTATGGTAATATTGCTTTATAATTATAATATGTATTCCGTTTCACATTTCTAAGGTCTACCGGAGATCATTTATCAGGCTCAAGCTACAGTATAAATATGTACTCAAATGTAGGCAAAGAATTCATATATGTTATAAAATTTCATACTTGCAAACATTTGAAATTATTTTCATTTGCATGTTGTCATCTTGTCATTTGCATGTTGTCAACATCTTTTATAATGTTGAAACTGCATCAATTTTAAACTTAAATTGAAAATAAAACAAATACGTCCGTTGGAAAACATGTTGAAGAAATAGTTGAGAATAAAATACATTTATTTTGAAGAACCAGAATCAAATATTTATATTTTTTAACGGTGCTATTTGGTTATACCAGGACGGCCGTGACACACAAGATGCGAAGGAAAAGTGGTAACGTTGTTTTTTTTTCTTGGAGCGTCGTAACTCGGGCCTTATGTGAGCTAGGGGGATGAAACTCATGTAGAACGTAACCTTTCATGATATTTTGACGACGTTTCGTATACTACAAAAATCCATCATCAATAAATGAAATCAAAATATACTCGTAGTGCGATTTAAATGAAATTTCTTGTTGACTAATCGCGACCAAATTTGGTGGGTAGGCTATGTAAGCGACGGTGCACAGGGTCCTACCCTGTAAAATTGGATACGACATTTCGTTTATATCTCCATCACGGTAGGACTAAGGATTTGATATTGAAGAAAAATGTGGGTCGATTTCGGAACGATTGGTGACGGGCTACTGGAAGACACCCTCGAAGTTTCGAACCGATGCCTCTAAATGGATGGAATCATCAGAATTTTTCTTAATTATGGGTCGATTGGAACCAAACTCGGTACGTGGATAGAGGTACTCGAATTGAGTTCTCAGACGAACAGATGGACAGGCAGACAGACGGAAGTAAGAAGTTTCACTTCAAATATACGCACATAGTGCACACACAATTTTTTTATGCCGATTCCACAAATAACAAGTTAAAACATGTAAAGTTTCATAAAGCTAAAAAAGCCAAAAAACAAATTGACGTATTTTACTAAAATCGTTTGACCGATAAGTTGTTTAAGCATCTATATCAATCACTAATCCTAAAATCCTCTAACATATTATTGCCAACTAATCATGGTTTATCGCACTGTAGCATATCAATATAACTTCAATTGTACAAACATTTTAAAACTAATATAATAAACTGAAAAACGCAACTAGATTTATAACTAAAATTGTGTTTAAAACTACCGATCAATGTTGATATACTCCTTTCACGGATTTTAATAAATTAACGGAGAACGGCTCATCACAATCGAATAAATTATGTAACCGAAAAAACATTTTGTTTGCGGTTTTGCCGTTCGACCGTATTGGATCGATTCGTTCTGGTTACAAGCGACTGCCAGAAAATAAATTTATCTTTCATTTTAGACGTAGATCTAATGGAACCAACGACTGTTCGATTTCTACCGAACCATAAAATATGGGTTTGATACTTTTTGCCTTTTATTTTTAACATAAGGTAACTGGCATGTCTCTATAGATTTACTATTTTTCTATGTTTTTTCAAAACATCAGTTATAATACAGAGCAATAGTCGGCGATACTGTTTTAGAGGATTTTAGGTTTAGTGATTTGTACAATTGGTTCAATTAGAACTAACGTTTTAAAAGTTACATATTCCTAATGCATGTTAATACGACAATACACGACAATACACTAAACTGACAAACGCAACTGGATTTATAACTAAAATTGCGTTTAAAATTACCGATCAATGTTGATTTACTCCTTTCAAGGATTTTAATAAATTAACGGAGAACAGCGCATCCCAATCGAATAAATTATGTTACCGAGATAACATTTTGTTTGCGGTTTTGCCTTTCGACCGTAGTGAATCGATTCGTTCTGGTTACAAGCGACTGCCAGAAAATAAATTTATCTTTCATTTTAGACGTAAATCTAATGGAACCAGCGACTGGTTCGATTTCTACCGAACTATAAAATATGGGTTTGATACTTTTTGCCTTTTATTTTTAACTTAAGGTAACTGGCATTTCTCTATAGATTTACTATTTCTCTATGTTTTTTTCAAAATGACAGTAATAATACAGAGCAATAGTATGCCATACTGTGTTAGAGAATTTTAGGTATAGTGATTGGCACAATTGGTTCAATTACTACCAACGTTCTAAAACTTATACACTAAACTGATAAAGCAACTAAATTTATAACTAAAATTGCGTTTAAAATTACCGAACAATGTTGATTTACTCCTTTCAAGGATTTTGATAAATTAACGGAGAATGGCGCATCACAATCAAATACATTATGTAACCGAAATAACATTTTTTTTGCGGTTTTGCTGTTCGACCGTATTGGATCGATTCGCTCTGGTTACAAGCGCGTAAATAAATTTATCTTTCATTTTAGACGTAGATCTAATAGAACCAGCGACTGTTCGTTTTCTACCGAACTATAAAATATGGGTTTGATACTTTTTGCCTTTTGTTTTTGTCATAAGGTAACTGGCATTCCTCGATAGATTTACTATTTTTTCATGAATTTTTCAAAACAAAAGTTATGACAATACGGAGCAATAGTTGGAGAAACTGTGTTAGAAAATTTTAGGTTTAGTGTGTTTATAGTTTTCTACTTTATTTGTAGAGTTGACATATGTTTCAATAAAAAAATTACTTTTTCTAATAAAACTATAGTGCTCAATATAGAAAATAAATATTTACATAATAACAGCTTATTTCCATCCCGGCATTTTAAAACAATATTGAAAATTTAACGAAATCGGAGAAGTAACATTTAAAACACAGTTTAATTATTTATTAAATAATAGAAACGTATATTTAGGCGATTTGAAAATACTGTTAGCTAGGAAGCAGCAAACAAAGACGGAACAATAGGATAAAGATATATTTTGACTTTTAAATTCATAAAAATATTTGAAACTTCTTACTACTACTTTCAAATGTATTTTATTGTATATTCGGTAGCTTCTTACAAACATTTTTTAGAAATAAAGTTAGTTTATGATATCTTAATATGCGTTTTATTAACAAAATAATAAAAATAATTTTTGGTTTGTTTTGACGCTAGTGAGAACAGCCAATATACAGAGTGAGTCTTAAAAGTGCAAATATTTTTTTAGTGGTAGTATATTTTGAACTCAGAAACATGATTATGAGGTTTTTCTCGAATTTTTTTGAAAATCTGGAATTTTTAGAAAAAATATTTTTTTTAGTTTTTAGTTAAAAACATAATTTCCTGATAATATGGCAATAGGTAGTAAATTAAATTTACCAGAATAAAACAGAAAGGATTCAGTGGTTCTCAAAATTTAAGCAAAAAAATCAATTTTTAGAAATTTTCAAAGTAAAAACATTTCGGTTATTTTGGACTTATTTGAAAAACAGTGAAGAGAAAATATGTTTCTTTTATTGAGATCTACCAACCCTGAAAATATTTGCACTTATTTAAGACTCACCCTGTATATCGAATTTCTTAAACTTATTGCCAACCAAACTATTACAATCTCTACTACTGTTTCTATAAGTTTTTTATCGCATCTATAGTAATCAAATATAAGATAAATTATATTAAATTACTTATTATAATGTTCTATTAATAAGTCTAACTCTTACCATCATTGCCGAGTTTGGTACAGAAATTAGATGGCATTTGTGTGAGCCTCTGTTTTGTGCTACAAGCTGTACTGTGCATATGACAATGGCTTAGATACACTGTACCGTCCGATGCGCAGACTGGTCTGCGCGGTACGCATTTTTTGAACATGCGCATTCGGGTCTGTCGTCACGAACTACACATTCTCTTCCACTAGGACAGTAGTGGGACAAACACGGATCTGAAAAGATAAAAATAAAAATTTAAGAATACTGTTAACTTTTAATAAATATAAATTATCTGGTATTTATTTTGTAAATAAATAATATTGTCAATTTGAGTTGTCATCAAGTTTTGATTTTAATATAATTAAGATGATAGAAGTAAAAATATGCTTCCAATAATACTTTTTGAACGACATTCTGCTACACAAAATCTTTTAAAAATTAAAAAATTATTAATTTATTAGAAACTATTTAAAAAATGCGATTAAGACGAAATAATCTCAATGACAGCTTATTAGTTATTAGTTGCTAATATTTTTTGTTCGATTTTTTTAAACGAAGCTTCTATGGAGCTCAGAATTCGACTTAATACAAAAGTTAAACGAATATCTAGGAAGGTACGGAGATATTCATGCAAATGATTGGTCGGTAGGCTGGGTATGAATAGACTGTGACCACAATACCAAAAGAATGCTAGAAACTAATATGAAATTACATAAAAAGAATTGGGTATATGTACTTATAAACGTAGGTTATATTTTTTATTATATTAAAACAAAATTATGATAAGCATCATAAAAATATTATTGTAGTAACACTTTTAATAAACATACTAAAATAAATTAGATACGATCTTTAAGAATATTTGATCTAATTACTTTTCAATTTTATTTTCTATAAATCAACAAAGCCTAAATCAACCAAGCTACAGTTTGTTCAATTTATTGAGTTTCAGAATACCCGGAAAATTTATATTCAAATTAAGTTATCTGGTCCGATCTTTTATCTCTTTTAAAGCCTACGTCTTCATAATTTTAAAATTAAAACGTCATTTCAAAAACTCTTACAGATCACGCCAAATTATTACCTTTTAATTTTGATCGTATTTTCTTTGTTTTTTATTTACCAGTTTTTGGTTTAATTTATTTCAAAGTTGTTATTTTTCAAAAACAAGTAAAAATACAGGGTGGCGCACCTCATCCGCCTCGGTTGATTATACGAAAACGGAAAGATGTAACACACATTTTTATGTAGGTATATGTAGAGGGGTAATGTGCATAATTTAAAATTATTTTCAAATGTACAGGGTGCATCAGAACTAATATCTATATCAAAATTATATTTTTTCTTATGGAACACCCGGTATTTTATTTAATTTTTGGATTCTTGGGCATAAAATAAGGCATTTATTATAAGGGTTTAATATATTTAAATGCTTTGGTTTTTGAGATATTTATAGATATTTAAATATGGCATGTTATAATAAAAAAATTGTCAACACCCTGTACATTACTTTTCAGATTTAATTCTTGTGCTGACTTAGAAGCCAGAGAAATAAACTTTATTAAAAAAATTGATTGCTTCCTTAAATGTATACAGGGGTATCAAAAATTGCTGGTCTATTTTAAATATTTATTTTACATAAAATCTTCGTTATTTCAAATACAACACTATGTATTTTTTTAAAATAAATCGAAGCAGATTTAAATGCTCTTTCAAACTATATTAGCGTTTCCTATACCTATCTGGCTCAGATTTCTAATAAAAGGTGATTTTTCAATAAAATGGCAATCAAGATGGCTGGTGTCGCCATTGCAATTTGCTAGTGACAGTTAGTAGCTATTTTCAAAATCGACAATAGTTTATGGATCTTATTTAAATTTATATCAGTTTACTTTTATTTAATTTACCTACAATAGTTTAGAGTAAGTATTATTTATAATTTTATCAAGAAAAATATAGAAGTAGGCCTTTTTGATGTATATTACGATGACTTGTAGTTAAATTGGATTTTCTATAACAATTAAGACCAATTCATTTTCTTCACTTCCAACGACAGGTTTCTGCCTAATAGGGTTTTCATATACCACAAGCTCAGCGAAATAAGAGTTAGTTTTTCAAAGGAACGATTGTCAAAAAAATTCCTATTTGGATATCTTTGAGCATAAACCCTTTAGCAGCCAACAAGCCATTTGTCCTCAAAAAATAAAATCACTATAGTCAGATAGTGATAGATGTGTCTGTTATTTTAATTTCAAAGTAGTTTATTTTATTTTACAAAGAAAAAAGTTGGTACAACTGGAACGCATAGCAGGAAATTAATATATGTATTTAAAATTTGACTGACAAGTAACTTCAAAATATTGTGAAAAAAACTGTACAAAACTGAAAAAATGTAATCGAGTTATTTTATTTAATAAAAAACGGTATGTGTTAATACAAAACAAACAAAAACAAGACACCACATACCAAAAAATATAAAAAAGAACTATTTTTTACTTTCAAGCTTTGTGAAACTTCCCGCATTTATGATTATATTTATCAATATAATTTATGTACAAATACAAATTTGTATATGGAGCTGTCTCAGATACTGGCTTTCTTAAAGCCCTGAGATTGTGCGATGAGTTATAACTCGTTATAACTCAAGAAAGGGGAACACACAATAGATCTATAAGGTCGCGGTGATTAACTCCCTTTCTAAACATTCTACATTCTACATCCATGTATATGATGTATAGACTTCTCTTAGATCAAAATAAATTTTAGTTGAGTCAAAAGTATTCGCTATTAGTTTAAGAAAAGTGTCTCTTTAATCAAGAAATGTTCCTTTTCAATCAAGAATTTTTGCATGAATCAAAGAGACTATTGTTCTTGTAGCAAGAAGTTCTTTGTATATTCATTTTGGGTCAAGAGTGAAATACTTTGGACAGATAGATTATTCTATTCTCTAAAGTAATTTTTTAAAACTTATGAAAAGATAGTTAATGCTTTGGGTAAAGAAACGTCGTTCTTGGCCCTATTGAAAAGCGTCAATCTTTTGGGTCAAAGTCATATTCATTTCGACTGAGAGATCCTTTTTTTCAGTGCAGAGGTTGCACTGACCACCGACCAGCAATCGGCTCTAGAAGGCGATACTGGAGGAAGTAGTAGCGAAGATTGAAGTATCGGCAGATTGGTTGGTGGAAACGGCACCTAAGCTTAAGATTGGGCTAAGGCCGGGACTGGTTGCAGTAAAGGGAGAAAACATCTCAAAAGGAGCGACCATCACGGTCTTTCTGAGGAGGAGCAAGGGGAAAGACACCACCTACCTGCTGAGTCTTATCCAGGCTCAAAACTCCAATGTAAGGACATCGAGTTGGCGAATCATCAACTCGAGATAGGAGGGTCATGGCTAAATAGGTCAAGTCCTCACAATAGGAATTGACCTCAAATCCAAGGAGGCAATAGAGAAAGAGATATATATTCTCTATTATAGATTCGAGACAACACCGGTATCAGGTCTAAGAAGAGACCAAGTTAAAGAGGTGGAGAGGGTCTTGTGAATAAAAGTTAAGCAAATGTTTTTACTTAAATTTCTTGAAATAGACTTATACAATTTGTAAACAACCAACAAAGATAGTTCTATAGAAAAAGCAATTGCTTCTCTTTATTCATCAGGCCCAATGGAGACAATCTTAGCCTGTACCAGGGACTGTGAAGGGCACGTGGGGCAAAACCCCAACCATGAAGGGTATATACCCTCGGAGGAAGAACATCTGTTGTCAGAGGAGGATGGGAAATGCCCTGTCCTCTCTACATGTATGATAGGTTATAGCACAGACTAACCTTAATTTAGTTTGTGGTTATAGACTGAATGATGTGTATATGACTCAAGGAAGGGGGACAAAATAATCTGTAAGGAAGCAGTGATTACCCCCCCCCGCCCACTCATTCTACTATATTCTACTCAAATATTTACCTAGCAGTTATATTCAGATAAATTTATTGAATCTGTTAATAGTTTTTAAAGAAAAATAAATTTAGTTGTTAAATTAGGCAAAAAGTGATGCAAAGTATAAAATAACTTCCATATTTATGGAGATAGCATAATAAATTTGATATTTGTACATGCTGGGGACTTATTTGCATGATACTCAATGTGAAAATGTATTTTTCATAGCCTACTTATAGAATTGTTTGGTTAGATATTGCACCTAATATATGTATGTATCTGATCAAATTAAAATGAAAGTATTATAAAAAAAATTGTTCAACTAACTTACTACTATAACGAGCCTGGGATGGAACTAAATAGTGAATACTGTCGCTTGACGTTAGTTTCTACGGCCCAGGTCAGTATTCTTCATCGCTACCGATCGCTATTAGTTACCACCCCTGATTTTTAAAGAAAATCTGAATTTAAATTGGGTAATTAGTGTGAAACAATGTGTAGAAATGATGTCACCTCGATATATGGAATACTTAGTTTCTTATTTACAGTTTTCAACATCCAAGCCACTATTTTTACAACAAAGTTTAACTTTTTCTAAAAAACTATTAATTTATTCAAAACATTGAATTAATAGAACCGGCTAGCGGCTGTAGGATTACAATGCTCATCATGTAGTTAATCAAAATGTAATTATTACATATGTATATTTATGAATAGGGGCTTCTAACAAAGTGCCAATCAAAAAGTGGCCGCAAATAGTTTTTTTTTGTTTTTTTTTAAACGAAACAGCTAAAAATATTAAATAGCTTTAAATACAAAAAATGTTTATTTTTCAATTTTTCATCCAACAAAGAAATAATATACAGGGAGTCACAGTGCTACTTCATTTGAAAAAGATATTAAGTAGTTAAACCAGTAGGGTTCTGCGTACAATGGCAAAGTTGATAAGAAGTATAAACAGACACGGTTGTGGTTATAATGGTATTGTTGGGGATATGTTTCATTCAGATCTTCAAACTTTGATGACTTCTTGTACACTTACTGTCATTTAACGCCCTTAATGTAGTAGATATTGTTCAGACGTTACAAACAAGGTTCTATTACAATGGTGCTTTTGATGGCATTCCATGCACCATTTTAAAATTGCAAATAGTACATTTAAAATAGTTATAGACTTTCCGATATCAGACATTTATCCGCCAATTAACAACACTGATACACACGTTGTATTTTTCCCA